AAAAAAAAAGGGTTTGGAACCAAATCTAAATTTAGTTCATTTTAACAACATAGGTCATCCTGAGTGCAAGCACTCAATATGGAAACAGCAAGATGGTTTACGTATATGGGGAATTGAGCCCGAGATAACTTCTTTTTGTTTAGAAGGTCAGCAGGATACCATAAACTAGTTCTAGCATGTTTAGAGGTTCTAAAGAGGGATTTCAGCAAGCATGACCAAAAGTCAGTTTTGTTAGTGATTTATTAGGCTGTAGTTCTATTCCCACGCAATATGACACACAAATTTGATAAGGTTCCCACGCTTGGTCATATAAGAAAGAAAGGCTGAGAAGTCATTCGGAGGGTAAAAAAATCTTATCTTAAACAGCGTTGTGGTGACGTTTGGCTTTCACGCTTTGATGTCCTTCAAGATTTTTATGGACGAAGTTGTTTTGAAACTTCTAAAAAATCTGGAAAGGCTTCAAAGGTGTTTCCGATAGTCAAAGAAGAAGAAAGCTGTACACAGATTTCGTTTTACCTAGTGATTTTTAATGACAACAAATTAGTCCTTAATAACAACTTATCGTGTGTAACTTTGAAACAGTGTGGACCTAATTTAGTGCACTGAGGAGTTTGTCAAAAGTTGAGAGAAAATCATAACCTTTATGTATTCTCCACCGCTCACCTCCCGTCTTTTTTCATTTTCAACCTCTCTGTGAGTGCGAAGCTGACAATGCCATGCATAATCAAATGATAGGCTTTGAATACTAATCCTATTATAAACATGAAGATAATAATTTAGACGAAAAATGTTGGTTAGAAACTTCAAGTTTCAAAACCTTCTTTCGCTATTGCATAGCACAAGAGAAGTAACAGACTGATACAATGCTCCAAAAAATATAATCATTTTTGATTACTAGTGACTTTTTATGCAAATTTTCAAGCATGCATGATTTACCTTAAGATTATTGTGTAAATCCCTGGGTGATTCTGACGATGCTATTAACAACTACGATATCAAATGGCTATCATAAATATTTCACTTGAATATCGTATCAGACAATTTTTCGGCGTTGTTTTAACTAGGCAATGCCAGTAACGCTTTTCGTTAGGATTAGAACTATATGCAGTTTTATACTTATTATTAAAGTAATAGAAGGAGACACAATCCATTTGGATTAAAGTCTAATTTTAAACTAGTCTTTAAAATCAATCGATAACAACCACAAAATTTGGAAACAGAAGAGTTTTCTAATGATTAGACATCGATGTTTCAAACACCATACCTTCTTAAGGCATCTGCACGCACCAAGGATATTCCTGGAACACTTCGACCTGATAATGTGACTGGATCATCGTTGTTGCTTAGATGGAACAGTTTACAAGCGGAACAACCACCAAACGTCATCTCGGTACAATACAAAGAGGTTAGTTTTAATAGAGACTAATTTTTTGATATCCTCGCCATGGTGAATATCTTTTCGCTACGTGATTGCCTGATATGCCTTCAGACGGGTTCCAGTGGAGTATGGAAGGCTCCGACTAACGCATCATTTGATCCTTCGGTGTCTACCATTCTAGGTGAATTATAAAACAGCAACTTGCTGCTTTGATTTCACACTTGATATCATTTAGTGCTTATTAACGGACTACTTTCTGCTACTTCATACGATTACCGCTTTGTCGCTTCGTACTCAGGGACGTACTCTATCGAAAGTAAAGTAATAGGTTTCAAGGAGTATTACTATCAAAGTGTTCAACAGGCGAAAACTAAAGGTATATTAGATATACGTAAGGTACTTTGAAAATATACCTTTCAGTCTTCCTAATTAAAGACTCTGATTGAGAAAGAACAATAGTTTAACTAATCTTTCCGAAAGAGAAATAAGTGCCCTCGCTTTTATTACATTTGATATAAGAATATCACGGCACAAAGACGAATATGGTATAATCGAAGCCTTGATTTTTAATAGTATAGGGGCTATATCAGGGAACCTGTTTCAAAATAGCCTTGTTAGCTGTTTGTATAATGAAAGATGTGAATCAGTTCCACAAATCATTCTCAATGTTCAAAATTATGCTGAATTTCGTCAGCCGGAGTACCCACTGCACCGCTACAAGTGGAAGCTAGAATGGACGAGGAGGGGTGGATAGTTTCATGGAAGGAGCCGTCAAGCGATGGTGGATCACCCATTACTAGTTACGCCGTCGAAGTAAGAGAAGTGCTGAACAAAGTACGGATCTGAACAAGCTCATTCTCAGATGAGAAATAATCGTTCGTCCGAGTGGGAGATTGCTGAAAGAGGGCTTGATGGTTGGAAACTCTGGTGGAGACCTGCCAAAAGTGATCGTCGGACGTGGGAGTTCCGCGTACGGGCGGCAAACACTGAGGGCTTTGGCGCTTATGGATATTCTAGTGATAACGTCGGTAAGCAATTGACTCGAGTATTTTTTCTTTACTACTAAATGTTTTTTAGTCCCTCCAACTATAGAAGAATCAACGCAGTCATGGCTTTACGTGGTTCTTTCTGTTTCACTTATTGCTATCCTTGTATTGTTGACTTTGATCTTCTTAATGAGTAAGTAGAAAACTTTTTTTCCTCAACAAAATTTTCAATTTGTAATGTTGGAAATTCAAATAAAATTACTGGATATGGTCAAGAATTATTTGGTTCCAAATTCAGTTAGAGCGCGCGCCCGGGCAGCACGGTTGAAAAAGGAACGTACACAGGATAAGAACTGCATCACACTAGAAAAGATAGCTGGGCTTAACAGTGCCCCTTTCCAGCCAATGCCTCCCGAAATGTTGAACGAAATCAAAAGTTTGTTTTCTATGCTTATGGTTCTTCATGATAATCTTATCCGCTCTAATGTCATTTCT